ATTATGTCCAAAGAATTAGCAGAGAACGAATAGTTTTTCAGCCCGAGCGCTGATAGCAGACTGATCTGAGGCGTCTAGGTATATTTCACTATTGCCCCTGATAATTCCCTTTCCCATTGCTGTGCTGAACAGTTCTATAGCTCGTCTGCAGCACGTGTAGAACCAAGAAAAACAATACCATTTCGAAGAAAGTAGCAGGTTACGAATTGGTGCTCAGCCCTAGCGCTAAGAGCAGACTGATCGCGGGTGTCTGGATACTTTCAAATCGCGCGCATGATGATCCTCTTCCGATTGCAGTGCCTGAGAGGTCTCGAGCTCATCTGCACCTCGAGTTCAATCCAGAAAACGAATTCCATCACCAGAAAATAGCAGACTATGACTAAGTGTTTGCCGTCTGCGCTCACAACAGAATCAAGCCAAGCGTCTAGATGCTTCACACTAGCGCGCCCCATGATGTTCTTCTGATATCTTTGCCAAAGAGCTCTCAAGCTCCTCTGCAGCTCGAGTTAAGTGAAGAAATCCACCATCATTTCGGAAAAAATCGGCTCAATACGAATAGTTTTGCAGACCTAGCTCGAGTAGCACACCGAGTTCAGACCTCTCGGTGCAACAGACGAACGCGCCTGATAATTCTGAATCGGTGTGTGTGTGTGGGTACCAGCTCTGTAGCTCTCCTAAAGCCGGAGTTCAGTACAGAAAACCGACAGCACCTGTCAAGATGACTCGAAGAATAGGAATAGTTCCGCGGACCTAGCTCGAGTAGCAGACCGAGTTCAGACCTCTGGATACAACGGACGAGCGCGCATGACGATTCTGAATTGGCTTCTGTGCGTAACAGCTCTGTAGATCTCCTACAGCCCGAGTTCAGTACAGAAAACTGACAGCACCTGCCAAAATGACTCGAACAATACGAATAGCTTTGCGGACCTAGCTCGAGATGCGAAGACTGATACTACTACGAATGATAATAAGAATGGCAATACAATTGTAATGATACTAATCATAACCCAATCATAATCATCATCACCTTAACCGTAACAACAAGGAGATAGAGAAGCGGCAGGCTGAATTGGAACCATGAAATGTGAACTCACCTCGCGCGCTCTGCCCCGGTCGAGGCCGAGGCGGAACCGAACGGCGGAGCTCCCTCGAAGGACGACCCGCCGTCCAAGAGCGGGCCCAGGCCCGCTGGCCAAGGGGGGAACCCGCCGCGGCGGGCGTCTTTCTTGCCGCGCCCCGCCGTGCTCCCTCCTCCGCGGCCGCGACGGGGGGACCCGCCGCCCCCGGCGGCGCACCCCGGCGGCGCACGCTTCCTCGCGCACTCTGGGCCCCAGGCCTGCTGCACACCTGAGCGCCGGCGGCCGTCCACGCTGTGCTGGGGGCCGCGGAGCGCCATCCACGTCGGCCCGGCTGCGTCTGCGAGCCAGCGGCAGCCAGCGCGGAAGGGAGCCCTGGGAGGCGGGCCGGGATGCCTCGCGCGACCGCGGCACCGTCGGCGCTCGCAGGGCCGCGGGCCTGGGCTCGCTCGCGCCCTGGGCGTCCGAACTCCAAGCTTCGGCGGCGAGCCCAGGGGGGGAGTGAGAAGGGGGGGGGGCTTCTCAGAAGGCTCGGAAGCCCCCTGGCCTTCCGAGAAGACTTCGAAGCTTTCCTCGAAGGCACAGAAAACTGCCCAGAAGGCCGGAGCGCTTCTGAGAAGTCCCGCCTTCTTCTGAGGAGGCCTCTTCCTTCTCACCTCCCGGCGTCCCGGGCGGCTTCGCGGGCGCATGCGTCCAGCTGCCGTCGCTTCGCCTCCGTCTGTGCGACCACGTGGCCGCCCAGCCTGGGTGAGCACCAGCGGATGGAATATTAAGACCGAGCGCGACGCCTCCTGCTCCTCCTCACCCTCTATCCTCCTCCCTCCTCCTCCCTCCTCCTCCTCCGCCTCCTCCTCCTCCTCCTCCTCCTCCTCGTCCTCCTCTTCTTCTTCTTCGGGAATGCACCGCGGGCTCCTCTAATTCTTCTCCTCCTCCTCCTCCTCCTCCTCCTCCTCCTCCTCGGTCTTTCGCGAAGGCCTCCTCCAGCTGCCTCTCCCGCGCCTCCCGCGAAGCCGGCGGAGCAATACGGCGAGGAGCGGCCCCGTGCGAGCTCGGGAGCGGAGCGGCCTCCGGGGAGGAGCTCTCCAACAGTGGGACCGCCCCATCGCCACGTCTCGTCCAGCGCCGCCAGCGCGCTCGGCGACACGCCTCCGGCTCGGAGGCGCTGCCTCGATGGCCCGCATGGCCAGCGCAGTGGTCCCCGCTGGGAGCCAGCCTCGAAGGAGAGCTCGCCGGGGGGCCCGCCGAGAGCCCAGGCTGCGGCCTGGGCCCGCCCAGCGGATGGGCCGGGCAGGTGCCCGAGCCTCCTCCTCCTCCGCCTCGTCCGCCTCCTCCTCCGCCTCCTCCTCCTCCTCCTGCTTCTCCTCTTCCTCCTTCTTCCTGCAAAATGAACAACGGGGTGGAAGAACAATCACCTCAACAGAAGCAGCGAATGGAACATGGGCACGATAAGGTCACATAGACGGAGACGCAACCAGACAATGAGGTGTCTCGCTTTTCCATATCTACCCCTCCTTCCCCTCCCCCTCCTCCTCCTCCTCCTTTTCCTCCTCCTCCCCTTTCTCGCCTCCTTCCTCTTCCTCCCCCTCCCCCCATCCCACCTCCCCCTTCTCCTCCTCCTCCTCCTCTCCTTCTTCTTCTTCTTTTTCTTCTTCTTCTTCTTCTTCTTTTTCCTCCTCGTCTTCCTCCTCCTCCTCCTCCTCCTCCTCCTCCTCCTCCTCCTCCTCCTCCGCCTCCTCCTCCTCCTCCTCCTCCGCCTCCTACGCCTCTCCCTCCTCTCCTCCTCCTCCGCCTGCTCCGCCTCCTCCTCCTCCTCCTCCTCCGCCTCCTCCACCTCCTCCTTCTCCTCCTCCTTCTCCTCCTCCTCCTCCTCCTCCTCTGCCTGGTGCCCGAGCTGCTGCGGCGGCAGCAGGCGCCTCACGTGCAGCGGGCAACGCGGCGCGGGCGGGGACGCGGCCGTGGCCGCGGCCGCGCAGGCCGGTGTGGCGCCAGACTCGGGGATTCCAAAACCGGGTGGTGACGAACCGCGTCGACGAAGGTAACGCCGACGACGACGACGACGACGACGACGACGACGACGACGACGACAACGACGACGACGTGACGACGAAGAGGAACACAACGACGACGGCGCTGCTGGCGACTACGACCATGGCAAGATCGACCACAGCGGCGACGGCAGCGACCGAATAGACCTCACCGCACGGCCCGCCACCGCAGCCCTGGGACCTCGGAGGCCGGTCGCCCGGAGACCCCCTCGGAGAACGACCCGCGCCCCGAGAAGGCGCGGCGACCCCGCATCCCACCCTCCTCCTCCTCCTCCTCCTCCTCCTCCTCCTCCTCCTCCTCCTCCTCCTCCTCCTGCTCGGCTCCTGGGCCGAGGCTCGGGCCTCCGGCGGCGGCTCGGGAGAGGGCCCATGGCACCCCCGGAGCGCTCCCGGCGAGGCGCGGCCGCCGAGGGGCGCCCCGAGGCAGGAAGGCCCACGCGCGAGCCGCACGGGGTGGCCGCCGCGCGGCCCCCGAAGCCAGCTGGCTCACCACGCGGTGTGGTCGCCACAGCGCTTGGGGCCCCCCGGCGGACAGGAAGCGGCGACCGACGGCGAGGGGGGGGGGCCTAGGGCCCGGAGCGCGCGGGGCAGCGTTCGCCTGCCTCCCCGTGCTGTCTCCCTGTCGCTTCCTGCTGGCCCTCTCTGCATCCCCTCCTTCGGCCGTTTCCCTCTTGTCTGTTCTGGTCTCTCTCTCTCTCTCTCTCTCCATCCCTCCCTCCATCTCTCTCTCTCTCTCTCTCTCTTTCTCGCCGTCGGTGTGGAGCTCTGACGATCAATGGCGCCCTCGTCCGCGTGGCGCATCCGGGCTCGGTCGTTCCGCTGAGCCCGCGTGCCGTCGTGGTTTGGGCGCGCACGCCCATAAATCACGTTGAGGCGCGCGACAAGGGCAGGACGGTCGTGAGCGTGGTCCGCGGCGCCCGTGAGCAAGCAAACACACACACACACGGGCATGCACACACACACACACACACACACACACACTTCGATGTGTGCACGTGCGTGTATGCAAATATGCATGTACGCTTATGCATATGCAAATGTAAGTGAATGTGTACGTGTATATGTACATGCGTATGTACGTGTGCCAGTACGCGAAGATATAGACGCGTATGCATATGCAAATGCGTACTCATATGTATGTGCATATGCAAATGCATACGCACGTATGCACATGTGTATGTTGATGTGTCAGTGTAGAGGGTGATTCTTTCTCCCCCCTCTGATGCGCGCTCGTCTGGAACACGGCCGGCAGCAGACGCCGCCCAGATGAGGGGAGCGGAAGGGGAGGAGGAGGAGGCGGAGGAGGAGGCGGAGGAGGAGGACGAGGAGGCGGAGGGAGGAGGAGGAGGAGGAGGAGGAGGAGGAGGAAGGAGGAGGAGAAAGGGTCAGCAGCAGCAGCAGCGGGACAGAAGGGGGATGAAGAGGGAGACGGGCATGGGGAGGAGGCGGAGGGGGGGAGGGGCTGTTACGTTTCACCTCCTGCACGTCAAGGTACGTGTGTCGCCGGTGGCCCCTGGAGCAGTGCTCCAGGGGTCACCTGGCCATAGTCTGATCGGCCCGCCTCAGGGCCTACCAGCCCTGGGGGTGGGGAGGAAGCTACGAATATCGCTCTCTCCAGCCACCAGGCAGCAGGAACGTGTGGTGGGCGGGGGAGAGGGGGGAAACAGATGAGGGAGCAGGAGGAAGGAGGGAGCAGGGCACGAGGAGGAGGAGGGAACGGGCGGAGGAGGAGGAGGAGGAGGAGGAGGAGGAGGAGGAGGAGGAGGAGGAGGAGAGGAGGAGGAAGAGGAGGGAGGAACTGGAGGAGGAGGAGGAGGAGGAGGAGGGATGAACTGGAGGAGGAGAGAGCCGGAGCAGGAGGGAGGAGGGAGCAGGGAGCAGGGCGAAGACGAGGGCGTGAGGGGAGGAGCGAGGAGGGCAAGGTCATCCCTGGACGGGCGCGAAGATGTCCCCCTCGTCCAGGCGCTGCGGCAGGCCCACCTGCTCCCTGCTCCACCGCCACAGCTGCTCCTGGAGCTCCTCGGGCCCCCAAGCACGAGCAGAGCAGGGAACTCGTCGGCGTCGTCCTTCTTATCCTCCCTGTCCTTCCTGTCTTCCTCCTCCTTCTTCTCCTCCTCCTACTCCTCCTACTCCTCCTCTTCCTCCTTCCTCCTCCTCCTCCTCCCTCCTACTTACCCGTCCCTCTCCCTTCCCCTCATGCCCCCGCTTATCCTCTGTCCTCCCCTCCTGTGCTGCTCTTGGCTCCACCGCCCGACTCCATCGATTCGATGGAAAGGCGGGAGGGGGGCGCGGCAAGAGACGGGGAGGGAGAGAAGGTGGGACACCTCCAGACACCAAAAAGGAGGGAGACACCGCGGAGAAGGTATTCTTCCAACCCCTCCTCCTCCTCCTCCTCCTCCTCCTCCTCCTCCTCCTGATCCTCCCTGCTGTTGCTCCTCTTCATCCTCCTCGTCCTCCCTCCGACCTCCAGCCGCGTCCCCCCTCCCTCATTCCCCCTCCTCCCTCCTGCTCCTCCTCATCCTGCTGCTCCGCTGCGAGCTTTGCACACAGATGTTCAATCTGAGTTTTGTCCGCAGGGTATGTCGGCGTTCAGGGCAGCCTACTGGCATGTAGCGGTACTTCCACCAGTTGCTGCTGCTCTTACTCGTCCTGGTCATTTCATCCTGCTCCTGCCGCTGCTGATCATCATCACGGCGTCGATGGCCAAGTCACTCCTCCTCCATCCCCCTCCTCCTGCATCGTGGAGGCACCGGGACACGTGCGATAACAAAAAAGTGAGTGGACTTCAATTCGATTCACAGCGCGCGTGGTACGCATGCATGCGAGTCACGACGGGGGGAGCACATGGCCATAGATAGCAGGCTGCGAACAACAAACCACCGTACATAGTGCTTGCATACTTTCGCCACGCGCGACACCGCACAGCATGCCCGCCGACTTTTCCATAAATCATCTGCGACACCAATCGTCGCCTCTACAACCATCCAGCGCCCGGGCCAAGGGATCTCTCTTGCCCCGCGAAGTCTCGGAAAGTCGAGGCCGCAGCAGAGCTACGACGCCACATGCGCACGCACATCAATCTCGACCCCGCCTGCTACTTCGAGATGAATGGTTTGGCTCATCCAGGTTTCCAAGGAGGCAATGTATCAGGCGAAAAAGGCCGGACCCGATTTCAGGAGGAGCTCGTTGCGCGCTGGCGGTCACGTCAACCTCGGCTCCGAGCGCGCGAGGTCGTCAAATGACGCCCTGCCGATAGACGACGACACGGACGAGGTCATCGCGGAGGAGCTGGCGAAGGGGTCGCCCAACACAACGCAGCGTGCGAGCGACTTGAAGAGGTGCCTGTTCGAGTGCAGTCTGATCGTGAAGGGCCACGTGCGCAACCACGCGACCATCGCAGCCGAACGCCCTGCATGCCAGGAAGGTGGAGGGCAAGGGGAAACCACGGCCCCCCCGAGCCTGACCGTGGACCTGGCAGCGCTGGAGATGTCTTGCCGCTCCCCGCCGAAAGCTCGCAGCGCAATTCTTGCTGTGAGCTAGACATAATCCCTTCGCAGCTCCTGGGATAAGGGGCAACGATAAGGGGGGGATGGGCATAGGGGGGGATGCATCGACCTGGAATCGGCGAAACATCGTCGACACATCGGCTGTAGGCCTCCGATAGTGAATCCGCACCTTCCTGGGCAGGTTGGGGCTCGCGGGCCCCTGTGGGCGATCAATGGGCGATCGGGGGTCGATGCATCCCCCCCTATGTCCATCCCCCCGTTATCGCTGCCCCTGATGGAAGCTGCACCCAAAAGAGGGCGACCGGCGTGGCTGTGCTGAGGGCTTTGGCGGCGCCGCATTGTCCTCTGGGCACTGCCGCCGTGCGCATCGAGATCCGCACAGGTGTCCGCATAGGAATCCGCATAGGAGTCTGGTCCGCAGTCGTCGTCATCGTTGTCGTCGTCCTCGGCCTCGTCCTCGTCCTCGTCCTCGTCGGCGGCGTCGGCGTCGAAGCACGCCCAGGCGCTGACAGGCCTGGACGCCGCCGCCCAGCACGCAGGGCAAGCTTGGCGCGCACGGGGCGGCCGAGCTCGGCAAGTGCTGCCGCGTCGGGCAGGCCTTGCACAGCGAGGGGGGCCGCGGAGACGACGGGGCCCGCGCGCCTCGTCCATGGCCGGCTGGCGCTCTCACGGGCACGCGCAGGCACTGCGCCAGGAGGGGGGCTGCGGAGACGACGGAGCCCTTCGCCATCCAGGGCCGGCTGCCGCCGACGGGCACATGCTACGGTTGTGGATGCCACGACAATGGACACCCTAACAGTCCTATCATTGAATTTACAATGTGTTTAAAATGTGGGAAACATGTTCTAAACATGTATTAACCATGGTTTTTGCATGTTTAACACGTGTTTTAGACATCTGGGAATTATTTGGCAACACGCCTCCTCTCCATTGATCGTCCTCCACACTGCTGCGATGAGGGCGCTTCTCTCCGCGTGCCCGAGGGCTTGCTGGCAAGGGTGAGCGAATTCAGCGTGGCCGCCCACGGTGCCGCACCGCGCACGCCGGCCAGGAGGGGCCCCAGGGAGGCCAAGACCCCAGGCCCGCTCTGCCACCGCACGGCGGCCACGGCCGCGTGCCTCCTCGGCAGAGGCGAAGCCATGCGAAGCCAGCATCCTCCTCCTCCTCCTCCTCCTCCTCCTCCTCCTCCTCCCTCGAGCGCTTGCATGAGGAACGACTTGGCCGGGCGTCCTGCCGCGGCGGCGGCGGGGCTCGACCCGCTCCGACCTCCAGCGCTGGAGCAGCCTACAGAACAACGCGTTGTGCCGAATGCCTGCGCCCACGTGGCCCTGGTGGCCGCCGCGGGGAACACGCATTCGTTGATAGGCACCTTCTCGTTGCCAGGGAGAGCATGACGTGAGACATCTGACCGCGCCTGCGCACGCGACCCCTGCGAGACACGGCCGTCCGCTCCCGCACACGCCTCGGCCAGCCCACGGTGAGCGCACCTAGGCGGGCGACAATACATGTAGCAGGAGGTGCAAGCAAGAAGAGCATCCTGCTGGCCCATCACCTGGGACTGCATGACACTGTGGCCCTTGACCGCGCAGGGAGCGTGCACGGGCCGGCCCCGCTCTCGTGGCCGAGATGTCCAGGCGTAGGACCAAGAGTTGCCAGTGCGAGTGAGGCCCCCGCTCACTTCCCCTTCCTCGCGCCCAGGTGCCCGCGTCCACGCAGCGACTAAACGACGCAGCGCGTCCGTCACTGCTCCCGGGCCCGGTGGGGACTGGGCTCGACCCTCACCGCCAGATGCAACTTAGCAATGCCCAGGCATCCCACGCAGCGAAAAGCGGGAGGGGGGAAACTCTAGAGAACGGTTCCCCTCCGGTTTGGGAGCGCTGTCTGCGCGCGCAAAAACAAAGAACGGGGAAGTACTATATATCACTGTCCTTTTGCATCGTGTTCCCACTCTCCGTGTTTGGGGTGTTGTCAGCGCGTCCTGTGTAGCTGCCGTTTGCTTCCAAGCTGCTTCTTGCAACCAGCTCCCTGCTCGAAGGGCTCACTGCGTTGCGTTCATGAACGAACGCACATAAGCCGATGGTGAACGTGCTTGGGGCCAAGTGCGTTTCTGGGTCTAGGTACTCTTGAACCTGCTTATATACATACGTCCACCTACCGAGATTTAGCTCTGACTCCACTACCTGATTGATCACACGGCGCTCACCTTCACCACCACCTCCTGCGCCTGCTCCTCCATGTCCGCCTCCCCCTCCGTCCTACTCTCCCTCCCTCCGTGTCTCGTCTCGTCCCCTCTCCTCCGCCAGCCCCCCCTCCCTCCTCACTCCTCCCCCCCACCCTCCTCCCTCCTTCCCCTCCCCTCCCTCCTTCATCATCGCTCCTCTGCCTCCATCCCATCGCCTCCCCCCCCCCCCCAACCTCCGCTCCCGCCTGCGGCCTCCGGGCTCCTCGGGGCAGTCCGGCCCCACCGAGCTGTGCAGGCTGTAGCCCAGCCTCTGGTGGAGCTCTGGCCTCCACAGCCACGGGCTCGGGCCCTCGAAGTTGTAC